AGTCAGGAATGCATGTGATGAAATAAGGCCTTATTTGAATAATGCTATACCACGTTCGATCATTCGTAGATGTGAAATGTGTATTGAACAATTGGGTTTACATTTTGAGCAACTATTTTAGATTTTGCATGTTTGTCCTAACTATCCAATAGCATTTTAGTTGTAAATAATTAATTTAATTTGTTGAAAATAATATTGGAAAATTAAACAAATTAATATTCTGTTTTTTTTTGTGTTTATTTGGACTTAGGAATTATTGCTGTGTTTAAAAACACAATCTGAACGATCATGTTAATTACCTGTAATGCCCAAATCGAAAATGTAAAAAAAATATTATTTTCCAATAAATAATTAAAAATGCATCGAACCTTAAAAATCGAAATATCTCAAAAACGGCTAACTATAACGAACTAACAGGAGAGCTTTTTTATGCAGAAAAGTGCGAAGAATCAGTTTTTTTATTCATAAAGCAAAAAATTGCACTAAGAAAAAATTTTCGGTCATTTTAATACACTACAAGTACGGTAGAGAGCGCCCTCTAGCGGCTACACTAAAACTATGCCCACGGTTCGTTTTGTCGTACCAAAAAAAACCCTTGTATACCAACGTTTACTGTTATGCATCAAATATTGTTCGAAATATTAAAAAAAAACTATTTTAAAAAGTAAATTTAAACACCCTGTATTTCGGAAGCCACGCATTTTTCGACTATAGACTTTATGCATTAATTTTAAAAGTTCTATTGAATCTTAAAGTTATGCAACAATAAACTGAAACACCCTATAGTACATTTACGTTTCCGAATATTTCTTCTATTTTCGACGCTTTTGGAAGATGTCTTGGCCCTTCAAATGTTGCTGATGAAGTTGTGGAGGGGTTTAGATTGTGTAAAGAAGGAAGCACATTTGCTTCTGTAGAAGGAACGTTTTCTGGTGTTTTGAGGTTTTCTCTCAGTTCCGGTGCAAATACAGAATTGAATGTTTCGTCAAAAAGAGAAGGTGACTCACATTCAGTCCTCAAAGATCTTATGTAGGAGAGGGTGTTGTAGTAGTAATCTGGTCTGTATTAACAGATAAACATTGCGGTACCAGAGAGTGAGTTTCAGTTATTGTATGGTGATCAGGAATTGGAACCTCTTCGACGATAGACAACCTGCTAGATGCATCGGAAGTCGATGGAACAGACACTGTGCTCACATTACATGCTGAAGGATTATCACCATCAGGGGAAGTGAGCATCGGCCTATCTGTCAGATAAGAACCACTAAACTCGGAGTCAGGAAAAATGGTTTCATTCAATGGTGAAATCCCGGATACTCCGAATCCTGATTAAATATTTTCAATTTTAGCAGCCAATGGTAGTGACGTCTTAACCCGCTCCGGTATTTCACAAATTGTGATAGTCTTTCCCGGGTTACTAGCCAGCCATTTGTCATATGCTCGGTTGAAATACTTTTTCAACGATCCGTACACAGAACTGTCAAGAGGTTGTAGCTTGTGGCTACAATGCCGAAGGAATGACAAAACTGTCACCTCATTAGTTTTAAAGTAATCCAACGCTTCAATTGATAAGTGAGAGTTATGGTTATCCAACAACAAAATTACACGTTTTTCTTTACTAGGTTTAACATATTTCACGAAATGTTTAGCGTACTTCATAAATGGACGCGTGGGAATACGAAAAATGTTGGAACTATATTTCCTACATCTGAAACAGCTACTGCAACAGTCACCAGTGTATCCATCTCAGCAGATGTCATCTTGCCTAGACTTTTAACACCACGTCGTTCTATTACTCTATTAGGTACTTGCACGGCTGTCATACCTGTTTCATCAACGTTCCAGATACCACCAGGGCTTAAATTCAAGCGTTGGTAAACAGCAGTTAAACTAGCACATACTGACGTTATGTTTGTTGAATGATGTAGCTCTTGAAAAGTTTGTTGCTTGAGGTGTCCTTATGGATAAACATGGATGACGTTTGAGAAACGAGCCTAACCAATATTCGCCAGCTAACAATTTTGTTCTCCAAGAATCAGGCATAGCTTTGTTACCTTTTATGGCGAACTGACATCCTAATTTTCGGGTCTCATATGGTGTCAATCCAGAATAAATATTAGCGGCTTTCTTTAAATGACTTGCTAAATCTTTTTCTTATTCATCAGTGAAACTTGCCTATTTATAATATATCCCACTGAGTACAAAGTTAATTCTGCTCTCGTCAAGTTCGGATTACGTTCCAATTTCTCCTTTAGTTTCGCCACATAACTATGTAATGTCTTATAGGGAATTTCATATTTTTTTTTTAAGTTGCATTAGTACTTTTTGTGTCAAAAATTATTAGATGGCAATCTCTTTCTTGGACACTTTTTGGTGTATCAGCTCGTTCAGTCCTTCTTTTATAGGTCCTCATTGTACTGTAACAAAATTAATATTAAAACACGATTAAAAGGTTAATTTACGAGATATCTTAAACTTCAAATTATATTGGGGTTGGTTTACTAACTATTCAACCAACCCCGAAAGAAGTTAGTCGGCCAACCCCAGACGCCATTTTAAGTTTCAATGGTATGGGTTACCTAAACACTGCCATCAACTCAAGGAATAATACATGAAATATTATCAATATGCACTCACGAAACACTCTGACTAATAGGCAAATGGTTAACATAAAATGTGTAAGTGTCAGATGGAAGAATATGCAATATGGAAATATTACTTACATGATACGAAGACAAATCACGTGTCACTGCTCGAAAACGGCGTGCATCCGCGACGTGGCGCTCCGGACGACTGAGCGGTGAGCGGGGGTCGTATCGTTGACGAGTTTTTGGCGGTTAGTCTACCTACCCCTATAGTCAACCATCCCCGGTCTCCCCTAAGCTCAGGAATCCAACATGGGCAAGTTTATCTGAAATTAATGAGCTGCGATACCTGGTATACATACCTTTTTTTTTATACTCCATTTTCCACGAAGGCCTAGGGCCTAAACACCCATACCGTGGGGCTATAGGGGGATTCAGGGGAAAGGGGGGGACGCCGCCACATGGACTCTGGCGAGGGAACACGTGTGCATGCAACATGCACACATTCTGGCTCCGCCTACGAAATCCGCCGGGTGGTACCTCCACGTTCGACAGTCAGAGACCATCTACCACCTACGGACAATCACAACATCCATAGCCAAGAGAAAAATTTCTCCTGGGACGGGACTCGAACCCGCACAGCGCACGGCGACTGATCAGGAGACCGAAGAGTCTACTACTGCGGCCACCGCTGCTGCCTGTCAGGGTATGGGATTAGACATGAATGGCAGTTGTCATTAATACCCTTATAGCGACTTTTCGAAGGCTTTCGATAAAATTAACCACAAAACTTTATTAAATAAGTTAGGTGCACTTGATTTCACAGATGATGCTAGGGAGTTGATGAAATCTTACTTATCCGATCGTAAACAATTTGTTAGCTATAATGGCTTCCAATCTGAGACATACTTGGCACCTTCTGGAGGTCCTCAGGGGTCCAACCTGGAACCATTACGGTTTTTGATATTTATGAATGACCTCTGTGACCCAGTTGAATGTGAACGCCTATGCTTTGCTGACGACCTAAAAATTTATTCGCAGATAAATACTCCTGATGATTGTATCAAGCTACAACACCAATTAAATTCTGTGCTGGCTTGGTGTGTAGAAAACAAGTTGGAGCTTAATGTGAGGGAGTGTAAAATAGTCAGCTATACCAGGAAAATTAATGTTTGCGAATATCCGTACTCTATTGATGGATCTGTGCTAGAAAGATGCTCTGATGTACGTGATTTAGGTATAATCTATGATCAAAGGTTAACTTTTAGTCAGCATATAAATAAAAAAGCATCAGAAGCATTGGCGGCTTATGGTTCCATAGTAAGGAATTGCAGGAATTTTCATAACATAAAGTCTATTAAGCTATTATATTATGCTTATGTTAGATCCAAAGTCGAATATTGTAGTAGTATTTGGATCCCTTACTATGAATGCTATAGCACAGCTATTGAAAGAGTACAACGGAAGTTTCTGAAGTTTGTTCTGTTTAGGATTGATGGGACATATCCAGAGAGAGGTACAAGTAATGAGGAACTATGTAGTCGCTTAGACATGTTGACTTTGAAAAAACGTAGGTACTGTGCTTCAATAATATTTGGCTACAAAATGATCAACAATTTAATTGATTGCCCCATGATCCTGGAACAGATCAAGTTTCGTACTCCAACGTTTGCATCTCGCAATCATAAAATATTCGGGCTTCCTAGAGCTGGGACAAACATCCTTCTCAAGTCACCGTTATATGTAATGTGCTCTAACTTAAACAATAAAAAAATTGGATGTTACTGTGATATATTTACGACAAATGTTAAATACCTGCTAAAGGCAGCTAAGGCTTATTCGGACCAATAGCTCATGTTACAAATTTATACCTGTGTTGCATTTGTTGTTTCCTTTTCGCTTTTTTTTGCTTTTGTATTATGTTTATAAACTGTCCTATAAATGGGAAACTGTTGGACAATAAAGCTATTATTATTGTTATTATTATTATTATTATTATTGTTATTATTATTATTATTATTATTATTAAGACGTATTATGGTAATCCATATGTCGGATGTCATTATCTTCAAATCCACCTTCATAAGAGGTATTACTATTCTATGTACTGCTTGGCCCTTGCTAACTTCATTATTCTCAACATGTGGAGGCAGTCGTTTCGAAAAGACTGCATCAAATTAAGTACATAAAAATGTATAAATCGCACAAAAAAATGATTAGCTCGACTGTAATTTTGACCACTGAACAAATTATTTCTATGATCTGTAGTATATCGTTGGAAAGGCAAAGAAACACGGAACTTTTTGGAATAAAACTAAGTAGCACCAGAGGCATATTTTTTTTGTAATCGAATTTTGAAAGTTTTAGGTGAGCCATCTGTTGGAACATCCGGTATAATCGCCAAGTCGCCACAATGCTATTTGACATCTTGTCATTTTCGTAGGCATTTCTACGATTATATCTGGTTCGGGTTTAGGTTTCGTATACCCTGGTATCTGTAGCACAGTTTCTCAGTTTTATTAGAATTGTCAGTGTTAATAGTGAAAATGGCCGAATTTAACAACATCAACATCTTGCAGATTAAGTGCGAACAATGTAAATTTCCATGTTCTGTTGCCCCAGTTAGCAAGGAATCAGGTAAAATTATACTAATTTCTCTATAGAATAAGTACCAAAAGGAGGTAATTTTCTAGTTTAGCTACACCTGGCTTTTTACGCTTATCCGTCCGAATAGACATTAGGTTTGGGTTGTAAATGTTGGAAATAACGTTAAACATGTAGGCAAATGAATTAGTTGCAGACTATTGTTGATATCATCAAGGTTTTACAAGGTATAAGCGCCTCAATCATAATATTTGCAGTAAAGGACGGCTCCTGTACAACTGCGACGTTGCCATGTTGAGGAAATATAAGTAAATTAACGAAAATGGGTATTTTCAGTTTTCCTTTTACCCTTGAATTTCTACCCCTAGAGTGCATTTGACATAGGTTTGTGTACAACTTATATTTCGAGTTTGCGTAAGTGCCTTTTTAAAAAATATTTTATTTCCGAAATTACAAGTAGTGATTGGCGTGAAGGCTAGTAGGATACAGGGTAGCCCTATAACTTACATACAAATTCAATTATTAAAGATATCCATCAACACGAAAACCTACGAAGTAATGAAATCTGGAAATGAAACATCAAAGAACCTATGAAAACACATTTAATAAAAGCCTATTATAACGGGTGATTCTCCAAGGTGCATCACATGTATAAAACGTTCATTATTGAAGTTAGAAAAACGAAATTTGTCGGATGCGTATTATAGACGAATTTACATTTTTTGACGTATTGACTTGCTTTGACGTACGTACGTACTTCCGGTTTGACCGGAAACGATTCCAACTTTCGATTTTTCAATGCGGCACCCTATATAATTTTACTTATTTCTATCGAGAATGATATTCTGAACTCAACAACGCCTCATTTTTCAATATTTGATAACTAAGTCATTTTTGTTTTTGTTTTTGTTTTTCGATCTAGAATGCCATGATTCTGTAAATCGCTTCATTTTTGATCAAGTAACATGGAAAAAATACGATTTTTAAGCGAACGACCTAATTTTCTGCATTCGGTATACCTATGCACTAAGTCCTATTATTCTAGTTAACCGTGACAAAAAATTGAAAGAAGAAGGATCTACGTGATCAAAAATTTATTTGTCAGGTTAATTTACATCCTGCTGATTTACTGGGAACCAAGAAAAAATGCAACTGAGGCAGCTGGAATTTATTCTCAGAGATTCTCCAATCGTCTCCATCCCAGTTAGCATTATTTCCAAAACTGGAATAGAAAATGCGAAATGAACCAGAAGAAAATGCCAATAACTTTATCATCAGTGAAGATTAAGAGATAGGCCTATGTTGAAATAAATCGTACAGAGTCATTCGGCAAATTGTTTTAGAATGTGAAATAAGTTATTAATCCGTCTGGAGAACTCTTCACAAACATAATTATCGATCATTCAAGTACCGATTACACCAACATCTTTACGTTGACGTCGGCTTTTGACTAAATACAAAGAAGATGTACGTTTTCTGTTTCAAATTATTTATTCAGACGAAATTCGGTTTACCAACTTGGGTATGTTCAATCGGAATAATAAAACGTACTGCTCAGAAACAAACTTACGTCTAATGCAAGAAGGAAATTTTTGAGAACGGTTTGGTTTCAATTGCTGCACGAGTATTAACGGAAAAAAATAATTTTCGATGGACAACCTACTTATACAACAACTTATAAATAATAAATAAATGGTTTTATTGAAGAATTACACTAGCTAACCCAGTTGATATGTTTTCAACAAGAGGGGGCTCCGCCTCACAATTCTCATGAGATGTAACTTTGAAATCCCTTTTACAAATAAAGTGAGGAAAAGATTGTAATGAACGATATCAAGAAAATTTATTCTTTATTTGGAATTTCGAGACGTTCTAAGCAGCATTTTGTTGATTCTCCGTATCTCTTACAGTTTCCGAGATTTCAATGGTGAGGGTCGACTTGTAAACACCCTGTATATGTTCTTGCTGATTCCATAACCCACAACACAACGGAGTTGTTTCCAAAATATTTGAAAAACTGAGGCGAGTCAAATATTTAATAAAATATAGAAATTTCACTCCTTAAAAGCAACTCGATACAAAGGAAAAAGCCCTTGAGATACTGTTGGACCTAAAGAAATCATTTGATTTAGTGGGGCAATTATGAGACATTATTTAAAACTTTTGATTTTTTGGCGCATAAATGACAATACAATAAAAATAGAAAAATATGTTTATGTGCAGAAATATATATAGAACCTATTTAGTTGGTTAATTTGTCAATAAAATATCAACTTTTGTGAAAAAAATAATATTCTTATGTCTCGCGCTATGGTACAAAAATGATACAAATCTATATTAAAAAATACCTATTTCTTTTATGAAACACAGAAAATCAGGTACTAAACGAATTATCCTAATAGAAATGTAGATTAACAAAAATTTAAGGTTTATTGAACATTGTAAGAAGAAAGATCTATTTCAAGTATTAGTGACTTCTTCATGCGCTCTGTCCCGCCATGGGAAGTCGGATTAGGAAGATTCATTACTACGTCTATAGGATCTACCTCGAACGTTTCTCGATTGGAAGGGTACACAAATGAGTTGCCCTTACGCCGAAGATAAGAGACTACAGAAGAACTATTATTATCTATCGATTCAACATTAGCAACGTCGTCTTTTTTAATAGCGGATGTATCTAGATTTTGATCGGACTCAATTTCACTCTCCACAATATTTTTTAATGTCAAACTTCCCGGGTTACCTTCATCTTCATAGATTTCTCCAATCTCCTCGTCTTCACTGTCACTTAATACTTCATTCTTCTTTCTGTTGGATTTTTTCTTATGTGCCTTTCCTTTTTCCGTTTTAGAAATAATTTCTTGCATGTATCCAGAACTAATTAATATTTTGCGCCTTTTTGCCTATTTGGAGTTGTTCTTTTAATCTTCGCGAATAGAAGTGACTCGAAAGAGATCGTTGATAAATGTCGACACTACCATCGCTTGTGCTAGGTACGGCTGGAGGTACAATGGATAAAAATTCTGACGGGGAGAGTGAATTGTTTTCTGCAGTGTTATTGAGAACACTTTGAGACTGAGGCAAAGTTGAATTAGTATTTGTACAATTAAGGGACTGCTGGGAAAAATCTTGTTCCTCTGAAATTTCTAGTTGGTCAACTGTACTTCCTGCATTATACCTTATCAGGTTCTCGGGATCTAAACGATCCATGGGGTATTTTGTTCTATCACAGGGAAAGACTCCAGTACTAGAAAAGGAAGAAATGATTGTTTCCTTATTTATTCCTTCGCCCCATAATTCACATAATAAGTCAACAAATTCCGATTTCGTTATTTTTCTTTGATTTTCACGTTGACGGTTAATTAATTTTTCATTCCAACGGAGTTTGAGCGGTCCAAAGCAGCATCTGTCCAAAGGTTGTAAAAGATCCGTTGTGAGTGATGGAAGCTTCAGTAAAGTTATGTTTTCTGCGATTGCCCGTTCAATTGTAGCTTTGTCCAAATGGGTAATATGACCATCGAGAATTATAAGTAATGGTCTTTCAGGTACTACCTCACAAAATTTTATGAACTATTGCTGAAAAATATTGGTAGTCATCCAGCCTTTTTCCGAGCATGCATATAAAGTATTTGGTATGTCATGTAGTCCCTTCCAGCTAGACCATAAGTTGAGTCCTTGAAAAATAATCAATGGTGGTAGTAATCTACCGGCAGCTGAAATGCATGACATGACCGAGGTGTTTTCTTTTCCTGAGCCTTTTATATCCCTATGCCCTTTTTGTCCCGTTCCAGTCACACTCTTAATATGAGAAGGATCGGAAGAGAAACTTACGAGTATGTTCCAGATAAGGTCAGGTGAGTTATTTAAGTTTAGTTTGTTGATGGTTTCCTATACACGGTCGTAGAATCCATAAACCAAAAATGGATCGCTGGTTGCAGTTCGTCTACTTAGCTCTAAGTGCTCCATCTTCCTTTGGCTTAGCTTTTGCCTTTTACGAAAAGCACGAAACCAGTCATGTCCAGGTTTGCCGTTTTTAAATTGAGTTGTAATGTTATTCTCTATTACAAATGATTGGACCGTCTCTAAGATTCCTTGTTTTGTCATAGCAAAACCCCATTTTGCCAAAATCTATTTTTTTCCGCCAGGTCATGCTCCATTTCGGGTATAAGATCGGTTTTTCGGCCTTGTATTTTATTGTGCTTTCCATGGACCCGCCTGCTTAACGTGAATTTGTCGATTTTAAAGCATTTTGATGCCTTTCCTAAACTAATCTTACCTTCTTTGATAAGGTTTAATGCTGTATGAAGGTCTTCATCGTTATATGATTTTAGTTTTTTTTACATATTTTCTTGGCATTTTGCTAAAAAAATATATAATTATGTCTCATTTTTTACCTAACCTTGTCTCATATTTACCCCAAAGAGTGTCTCACTTTTGCACCCGCTAAACAATTAGACGTAACGCTACTACGGTTGAAGACAAACTGCCGCGCAAATCACCTAACGACTAAATCAGTATTTGGAGTATATCTCAAGGCTTACCGATTTTCCGCGAATCAAACAGAGGCGGAACGACCAAAAGTTGCGAAATGAAATTTAAAAGTTTGTTCATGTAAAAATGCATAGACTATTCTTGGCCTATTTTTCAACATTAAACGAATATTAGGTATATGTATATATATATATGATATATATATATATGATAAATATATATATATATATATATATATATATATATTTTGAGACGTGGTCATTGTCGTCTAGACCAGTTATGTGAAAAATTAAAGCTTCCGCCTTTTGTTGGGTACTTCGACAAAATTTAAGCAAAGAGGACTCTTTATACTTTTTTAATTCTCTCTAGCTTTCAATGGACTTTGCCATCATCATCAGGAGCTGCAATTACAATGATAACAGTAGGAACAAAAGTGTAAAATGAATTTAAATTGACTTAACTTACAGTAGTATGTGAGGATGTTGCTAATTGTTGTTTACGTATAGGATGAGGGAAACGCAACATGGTGAAAGCTGGATAGATGGTACAATGGTCAAAATTATATAAAATATGACAAGAACAAGTTAAAAACAGGTTAAAAAATTGTTTTAAAAACATGAAAGCATTACATCGTGAAGCCACTTGATGATTGCACAAAATGGTGGTCATGGAATAATGAATGAGATGAACCCTTTGACAGAAGGCCGAAGGTTGTCAATGTCTGTGTAGAAAGATGGAACGAATTGTGGGCGCGTGCCAACGTTGCCAAATCACTTCAGATGATGTGATTTTCAGAATGTTATGTAAGAAATTGTTAAACCGACCAGAGGCAGTTGAATTAACTATATTTTAATTAATGGGAAATTAAATTAACAATTATTATTAAATCGTGAGAAGAAAATTATTAGAATTTGAGTGGAATGAAGTTTATTGGTGGAATCGACCAAGAAACAGATTCCATTTATGGTTGTGAAAATTTGGGGAGATATGTAAGTTCTCCAATTCATCGCAGTTTAGCAAATATGAGTAAATGACACTCAGTTGCTTAACATCTGTCTTTTTGTTGATACAGTTGTTATTCATGAAAATGTGGGACATTTCCAAGAATAAACGTTTGGAAAGGTATTTTTCTTTATCAAGAACTTTGATACTTGTTTAATTCATAGAATGCCCTGTTGTGTTAACATGAGATGCTAGAGCGCATCTTTCAGGATGAAGCCTAGAATCACTTTTGTGTGATGTAATCCTTCCTTTAAGAGATCTGGAGGTCTGACCTATGTATATTTGGTTGCAGTTGTTGCAATTGATGGAGTAGACTGTGTTGGTTAAGCCAAGCAGCGGGACTCTGTCTTTCATTTTTGAAAAAATGCAGTTTATAGTGAGGACGGATTTGCAAGCAATTCGAAAGTTCAAAGGACTGCACAATCTGATCAGCTTAGGGGTCAGTTCCTTGATATAGGGCAGGACAGCAAAACCAGGTCTGGAGTCCGGGTTGGTGCTTGTACTGTTTGAATTGATGCTATTGTTGGGAATTACTTCAGTTCCGTTATTAGGGGTTGTGCGACTATTACCTGCATCATCAGAGTTCGGAAAATTATTGGAAGGTGAACTAAATAAGATGTTGTTAATCAGACACTTCGGATAACCATTATTGATGAACAGTTTTGATAGTTTACGTAAATTTGAGGTGTGGAAAGTATTATCTGAGATGCTGATTACCCTTGTTTTCATCTGTTTCACCAAGTTGATTTTAATCCCTAGCTTATGGTATGACCTAAAATTGAGAAACCGACCTGAGGCCATAGGTTTCTGTTACCAATCTACCAATACACTATTGTTGTTGGTGCGGATGAGTCTTGTATCTAGAAAGAGGACAGACAGGTTCTCATCTTCTTTTTCAATGGTAAATTGGATGTAGGGGTCATAGCTGTTGAATTCTCTGACAATACCATCCAGACCTATGGAGGGGAGGCATAAAATAATGTCATCTACGTATTTTTTTATGAAGAAGAGGTTATAGGGTAGTGTCGGAATAACAGTATCAAGCAGATCATCCATGACATATTCTGCCAAAATTGATGATAGAACAGATCCCATAGGACAACCATGTGTTTGAGAATATATTTTGTTGTTGAAAGAGAAATAATTGTTATGAAAGAGGAATGTTATAATGTTGGTGAACGATTCTAGAGATATGTTGCAGTGTTGACTTATCTCATTCCAGTGTTTACTAATAGTTCTTGTACATGCATCCAGATAGATATTGCTGAATAGCGACACCACATCAAGACTGGCGATAATGGGATCGGCTGGTATTGGCAATCTGTTGAACTGACGAGAGACCTCAAATGAGTCTTTGATGTAGTAATCATTATCTGCATGAGCTGATTTTAGTGTTGCCGATATTAATGAAGACAAAGCCTGGGTGGCTGAACCTATTGATGCAACTATAGGTCTTACTGAGGGTACAGGTTTTTGAATTTTCGGAAGTGCATAGTATTTGTTGGGAGGGACAGAGTTATAAGTAGCCAAAGTTCTCTTTTGTTCTTGGGTTATTTGTCCAGTGCTGAGAAGTTCCTTAACAATGTCATTACTTTTCTTTTCCACTTTTAAGTGTGGGATCTCTATTAATTTCATAGTATGATGGGTCATCATTGATGAGATTGTTGCAAAGATCTAAATAGTGTTGTTTAAGTATTATCACTGTAACATTGCCTTTGTCAGATCTTGTAACCATAAGTTCAGAATGTTGTTTTTGAAATGTTCTAGTTTTGTTTAAAAGGTTGTGATAAAAGGAATGCTTTTTATTAAGATTGTTACTATGATAATAGTTAGTGATGAGGTTAGTGGAACGAGTTGTGAAAATGTTTCTTTCAGTGTCATCACTTATGGAGGATGGTATTGTGTCTACATTAGCTAGGATTGATCTAATTGGAATGTCATTGTTAACAATCGGCTCTACACTGAACTTAGGCCCTAGGGAAAGAAATTTTAAAATGTCATGAGGGATGTCAACATTACTGAGATTTTTTATCCAATTTTGTTGAGTGTTGAGCAAGGTTTTTCTGGTGTCATTCAACAATCTGTCAAACTTACGAATATTAGAGTTTTTAATGTTATGAAAGATTTTATTGTAATGTCTGAGTTGTCTATATTTGAAATTATCAAAAATTAGGGGAGAAGTGGAAGAAATTATGTCACTTTGGAGTGAATTGAGTATGGAATGAAGTTTATTCAACTGTCTGTGGCAGGAAGATATCTCAAGTGTGAGTATTTTCAACATTCCTCTTTCATAACAATTATTTCTCTTTCAACAACAAAATATATTCTCAAACACATGGTTGTCCTATGGGATCTGTTCTATCACCAATTTTGGCAGAATATATCATGGATGATCTGCTTGATACTGTTATTCTGACACTACCCTATAACCTCTTCTTCATAAAAAAATACGTAGATGACATTATTTTATGCCTCCCCTCCATAGGTCTGGATGGTATTGTGAGAGAATTCAACAGCTATGACCCCTACATCCAATTTACTATTGAAAAAGAAGATGAGAACCTGTCTGTCCCCTTTCTAGATACAAGACTCATCCGCACCAACAACAATAGTTTATTGGTAGACTGGTACCAGAAACCTATGGCCTCAGGTCGGTTACTCAATTTTAGGTCATACCATAAGCTAGGGATTAAAATCAACTAGGTAAAACAGATGAAAACAAGGATAATCAGCATCTCAGATAATACTTTCCACACCTCAGATTTACGTAAACTATCAAAACTGTTCATCAATAATGGTTATCCGAAGTGTCTGATTAACAAGATCTTATTTAGTTCACCTTCCAATAATTTGCCGAACTCTGATGATGTAGGTAATAGTCGCACAACCCCTAATAACGGAACTGATGTAATTCCCAACAATAGCATCAATTCAAACAGTACAAGCACCAATCCGGACTCCAGACCTGGTTTTGCTGTCCTGCCCTATATCAAGGAACTGACCCCTAAGCTGATCAGATTGTGCAGTCCTTTGAACTTTCAAATTTCTTGCAAATCCGTCCTCACTATAAACTGGATTTTTTCAAAAATGAAAGACAAAGTCCAGCTGCTTGACTTAACCAACACAGTCTACTCCATCAATTGCAACAACTGCAACCAAATATACATAGGTCAGACCTCCAGATCTCTTAAAGGAAGGATTTTGGTTCTTGACATCCTTTACTATCTGTTAAGATGCCTAGAGTACGGAGACCTGTACGATTTCGTCAACTTAGTGAGTTTGATAGGGGCCGTATAGTAAAGCTGGACCTTCCTTTCGGGCAATTGCAGTTAGAGCGCAAAGAAGTGTAGACACTGTGGTTAGGTGTTGTTAGGCATGGCTTCGAGAAGGCCGTACGCAAAGAGCAAGGGGCACTGGACGCCGCCGTAGAACAACAGACCGTGAAGATCGCCGCCTAAGATTATTGGCCTTAAGGGACCGTTTCTCCACTACCAGGTCCATTGCGAATGAATGGTTTGCAGAACACGGAAGACCTATTGGCATGCGAAGTGTTTACCGACGAATGAGAAGTTTTGGCTTGTTTTCATACCGGCCACACTGGGTCCTCCCTGTAACTCGAGAACACCGACGTAATCGCCTTGAGTGGTGCAGACAACGGTCACTCTGGGATCAGGAATGGAACAGTATTGTATTTAGTGACGAGTCTCGATTTTGTTTAGGCATGCACGATGGTCGTGCCTGGGTTAGAAGGCGACGTGGTGAAAGGAGGAATCCACAGTTTTTTGTTGAAAGACATGTTCATTACACTGTTGGAGTTATGGTTTGGGGTGCTATAGCTTATGGTTCCAGGTCACCTTTAATCTTCATCAGAGGTAACATGAACGCGCAGCGTTATACCACGAAGTTCTAGAACCCCATCTTTTACCCTATCTCGACACCCTGGCAGATCCAACTTTCCAACAAGATAATGCCCGACCACATGTTGCAAGAGTCACAATAGACGTCTTTCAACATAATGATGTCACATTGTTACCATGGCCAGCAAGATCTCCCGACTTATCCCCAATTGAGCACGTGTGGGATATGATGGGTAGGAGATTGCTCAATTTGCAACGTCCTCCTCAGACTCTAGAAGCACTTCGAGAGGAGTTGGTCGTTGCCTGGAATGAGATACCACAGGAGGACATTGACCAGCTGATCAGAAGCATGGAGAATGCGTAGCACATTTTTATCATTTACTTATTATGCTTCATTAAGTACTTATACAAAGTTTTATTAAAATAAAATCATTTAAACTGGGTGTTCGGATTTCTATGTCACTTAGTATATTATTTTTTAGTAAATGATAAAGGTGTAACTAAGTGATGAGCATTACAAACTAATTTCCACGCGCTTTCAAAACATACTTCTAGCTATTTTCCACAATTTTATTAAATCAGTAAAAAGACAAACATCCGCACCTATCACCACACGAGATAGCTGAACTGGTAATCTATTCAGATAATTTTTTTAGGAAATTTTGTTTGCGGTCGCTGTTATCCCGGAGGAGCTCCAAACGAGGCTTATGAGGAAGCAGCGGAAGAAGCTTTGTTTCCATGTGGATTTGGGTGCCCAGATATAATTCCTTGGGGACAGGTGCCAAGCCACGAAGCCGTCTGCAAAGGAAGAACTGTGATATGTCCCTTTGCAAACTGCACATCATCAGCGGCGCTTAAAGATCTGGTAGATCATATAAATGAAGCACATGCGCTTTTTCTCCAGCGGTCTCACAAAGTAAATGAGATTTACCTGGGACTTATGGATGAAATTATACGCTTGCACTGTATCCAATATGGAAAATTCACTTTTTTGTTCTTCATAAAATTTGAGGGACTCTTAAATAATCAAGAGTTATACGAAGTTTCCTATAGCATACATTTAGTATGGCCACAGAACTTTGAACGCACTGAATTGGAAGCTTTGCAATGTAGCCTGGAGCTACAGATTCCCAATTCTTATGTAAAACTCACAAGGTTGATACAAGGAACAGACATACAGCTATACCACGACAAGCAACATTGCGTTAATTGTGCCTATGGAAAATGTAAGAAACCGTCTCATGAAAATAGATTCAAGTGGCCCTTAGTTGGTGTGCCAATAAACACATGTGATTCTTTGGAGAAACCCGTATTTTATACCATCAATGTACACAAAGAGAGACTAAATGCCGTCATTATAACACCACGGGATTTGGAGTGTCCTGTATGTTTCGAATATATGACAGAAAATATCTTATTGTGTGAACAAGGACACTCGACTTGTACAAAATGTATAAGTCCGCCACCATGCACAATAGCGAGAGTAGCGAAATGCCAAATTTGTAGAGCATCATTTGGAGCATCTAGAAATTATCAATTGGAATCATTGATCAAATCGATGAAAATTCTTTGTCGTTGGCATGTCAATGGTTGTATGTTTGCTGAGCTAGTGAAGGTTGTGAAAGAGCACGAAGCTGGATGCCCATATGATCCCGAAAGCAAAAATTCTACAGAACTATAAATATAGTTTTTCATCGTTTGTTATGAGTTACCTTATGTTTTCCATTGAAGATAATCCCATATTGGAAGGACCACGCACTTATGAATTACATTTTCCTGATCATTTTTATATAAATAAATTTGTTGCATGCATCTGAACATTGATCAAGAGGTTGCCGGTCAGTAACCCGGTCCTTTTAAACAAATTATAAAAAAATATTCGCTTTTCGCTGCCAGCGAAGACTTTTCAAGCTTTCCGGTTCAAAATTGTGCGTAAGGCACAAACTCAACCAAGGGAAGGGCATTTTTATGGTTATGTGAATACATTCATTGAATAATGAATACAGCCCCTTTCTGGTAAAATATCCTCAGACTAGGTAATAATTCCCATATCAAATCTAGAAATACTCCATAAATTTTCTGATTTAGCTACAAAAACATGTCTTTTCATTTGAAGAAGAAGGATTTGGGTCCTACTCAAGACATCAAGCAAATTTGTTAGTACTCGTATATATACCTTAAATCAATAACAAGGGTATATAGCATATATATATATAGATATAGATTGATGTCAGCATTACTAAGCACTTTATTGAAAATATGAGTGTCACTACTTACATAAGAGACAATTTGGAATATATATATATATATATATATATATAGTATTCATAGTTAATTGCCTTAACTGTTAGGAGAAGATATCCTTTAATTTCTTTGGGTAGAAGGCAAAATATTGCAAAAGTACACTCTAATAACTAAACTCTCAAGCTTTCGAAGATCTATGTCTTCATCGTCTGGAGCTGGAAAAAATTATTAACAGTAGCAACAAATAGCAATTAGGAGAAAAATATTTACTTACTAAGTCGGCGAGATTGTTGCTGAAATTGTTTTTAAAACAACAGTGAAGGGAAACATAGTCGACGAATAAAAAATTGGACTGATGAGGTTCGCCTAGGGCGGAATTATTTTATTATTAAATGGAAAATCATTTTGAAAGGTTTTTTTTAAATAAGCGTTGATTGATTTTGGTAGAAATTTGGAGATTTTAAAACTATCAACTATTGAAAATTCTCCCGAGATTTTATCTTTTTTTCCACTGATTACCTCCACATTATCCAAGTCATACTTACAGTAGTATGTAAGGTTGTTGCTAAATGTCCCTGAACCAAAACGTTGATAACATTTAGCAACAACCTCACATACTAGTGTAAGGTAATTCAAAATCATTTTGCACAATAGTTGCTATTACGTCTCAATGTTATTGCAGCTCCTGGTGAAGATGGCAAAGTCCAATGAAAGCTAGAGATGAATAAAGTAAAAAGAGTCCTCTTTGCTTTAATTTTGTCGAAGTACCCAACAAAATGAGGAAGCTAACTATATATATCTATATGTATATATACAGGGTGTCCGCAAAGTTGGGGTTTTCCTTTTCAGAAACAACTACCCTTGAAATAACAAAGGTAATGTGTAGTGAAACGAGGGCGACCAATTAAAAAAAAAATAAAGGAAAAAGTACTCACTCTCCAGTTGACGAGAAGGGCTAAGTACGTCTCTGCCCGAAATCATACCGCTCCAACAGAAAATGAAATCAGCTGATGCGCTACCGAGCAGACGCACCATGCCAGCCCAAACATTCACCGAACATGTTTGTTGAAAATGTGCCCGACGGACAGCGTGCGGATTTTCTACTGACCAAACATGAGTGTTGCGAAAGTTATTCACCCCATTACGCGTGAATGTAGATTCGTCCGTCACCAATATGCACTTCAAAAAGTCCGGATTATTGTCACGTTGATGCAACAACCACCCACAAAACCGCACTCTTGCTGGAAAATCATCAGGTTGAAGGGCTTGTACACGTTGGCCGTTTGCCACACTTTAGTTTTTGATACTTGCACTTCTCTAGCCACGTCTCTAGTGCTTGTTGAGGGATTCTCGTCTACGCGATTACCTCTACAGGCGTGACCGTTACCGTCGGTTGAAGGTTGCATACTGACCTGACACACTGACCCCGATCCAGTTCTGTCGTTGAGCCAGTGACATGGTACCACTCCGTGATGTCGCGGCTACAGGACGGTATTCAGATATTTTTGATATTGCAGAGCCCTTTATCTCGGTTCCCTTAAGACACTGGTGTATATGGTACTAAGAAAAATTGCTTATGTTTTCAAGATATACACGTCGTGTAAAGGAAAACCCCAACTTTGCGGACACCCTGTATATATATATATATATATACAGTTAATTGGGAAATTGGCAAGCTTTTTAGGCTTTAGTAAACTCTTTTTACGGTAATCTCGAGCTTTCGGCATTCTCTATGGAGCCTTCTTCAGGAGGGGAAAACACAATTATGATGCTAGCAACCAATACAGGAAAGACTTAAATTGTAAAACAGCTTACTCGTCGTTGAGGCTGCAGCCAAATGGTGTTTCAAAACGAACGCGGAGATGAGAGCACTTGTTACAAATATAAAACCAAACGGGCGGACACATTTTGTTTATTGATAACGACGGAAACCATCGTTAGGTGTTAACACTATATATCAATACACCCGAACACATTAAAAATTGACGGATCATCATCAGGTCATTCAAACAGGATCATTGATTTCTCTACGAGCTGCATAAAATTCTGCTCAATACACTATTTCAATACATAAACAAAATTACAGAAAGCTTATTATTCAGCAAATATCGACAATATATTAAATTTATTCGACTCCCACGCGAAAAATTGTTTCTTTCTAACTGCTTTTATGGTCAACACGTGTTTAGCGCTAATTTCCCTGGCTTAACAGCAATAAGATCACGACGTCTAAACGTACCATGCAAGTTTTTTCACACGGTGCTCAAATGAATTGCATATTCACTCGATACTTGTTGAGTGAAATGCATACTGCAGTCCTATTATGTCTTCAAAGGATTTATTAAGCAGAATTTTGTACAAGATGCACAAATTCAATGATGTAGTTTGACGGACCTGATATGAAGGGAAAAGGTTTTTGTTAGCTAATCGCAATGGGATTGATGATGGAATTTGAAAAATACATCCTTTTTTCAAAATATCTATTTTAGGTAAGTAGTTGTTTTCAATAAAATGCTTAATACTTGCCGTTATTTCAATGCATTGTATCGAGTTTGATCTAGGTTTCGAACAGGCCGCGAATCATTCTTTTTGATTGGTGGAATTTGAGTCAGATTCGCAAATTTTGTGACCGGTAGTCAAATTAAAAACACTTTTGTAGCTAGGCGAGGTGATTAAATATAAGAATTAGGGGCCAATCTTAAATCTAGTTTGAGAAGCATTTTACAAGAAATTGACAATATTCAGTGGAATTGTAACTTCACAAATGCCTTCTCATTGGTCGAATTTGCGCCCTAGGTAAAAAATTTGGTTCCATCTAGTCAATTGCAAATTCGGACCTTATGTCTGAAACGATTGCCATTTTCAGAGCCTGAAATATCTGCTGAAAATTACTTTCAAAGTTGCCTAGTTGAGGTTAAAATATTCTCTACAAAAAGTATATTGGGCTTAGTCTATCTGGAACCATTATTATTTAATCGAAGTCTTGTAGAAGGAGGTTTGAGCTACACAGTTCGTGACCCCAGAAACATAATTTTCGAGCAGGGTTTTGACACTCTAAATCGCACTTGGAAAAAGTCAGCTTCAAGGAAAAGTCACTAAGAAGCATTTCTGTTCATCATGACCCAGAAGCCTAAAGAAATCTAACGTAATAGCGATTGTTTTCATAATTTGTTTAAAAAAGTTTTCCGGCATACATGTATACGTTAAGGAGCACCCAGTAAACGTGATTATGCAAAAAAGCCGATTTGGAAAATGTATCTCACGAATGCAAGGTTTTCGCCTTGTTTAATACCAGACCAAGATATCCATAATATGGGTGCAAAATTGAGACATGCCATTTTACAACGTAATTCTATTCTTGATGGTATGGGGAACGAACCCTCGCCTAGAAATACAAAAAATGTTGGCTGGCTGACTTGAAATAACCACTTCACATTTATTCCAATGGTTATGAATTGTTGGTGTAAGTGGTCCAAAAAAAGTTCTTGGAGATTATTATTGCCCTCAAAGTAAGACCTCACAATCTGTTATTGCAGAAACACGTCAAAAATCGTCGATTTCTACATTTATCTTTTACTGTGCCTTTTTTTTCTTTTTTTGACTAGCTATCCAATGACTATGGATTGAACAAATGACCTTATATTGGGCTCATTCTCTTGTTAATGGTTTTTATTGAAATAGATAGCAGATTTCCGTATACCAACCATGTAACAAATACATCACCAATGGTAGTTTTAATTTCATAGATCGTAATTGACTCAAAAGTTGATGAAAAGTTTTTTGGATATTTGTGGGCCAAAATATTTTTTCTGACAGAAGTCACCGTAACTTTAATAGTCAACATTAAGGGTCGCAATTAAGCAAAGTATAGAGATTTCAAGCTTAAACTGCCTGTTTGAATTTATCACGTATCGTATTGCTACTAAGTAGGCCTTACAAAGGTAAACGATTACACAACGATGTCAAGTGAGGTCTTTGGTGTCCGGAGCCGTAGGTTATGTTTGATTTCCTAACGCAAAATATATTTTTTTGACTTATATGGCAAAAAAATGCTGCATGGAATCTGAAAAACTCAAATTGGTATTCAGTGAGCCTTATATAGAGTTCTAAGCAGGCCTGGACTAAGGAGAACGATAGCCGTGTTAAGGCACCTGGATTCTCCTTACTGATAGTTGGTGCACATGAATGAACATTAGTTCTAAACACCGTTCAACGTTTGCTGTAGGTTGTACTTTTCCTAATTATGGCTGTCAAGAAACAATAGACTTATTGTTTATAAGGGGGCCATAACGTGGCGACACTTTATTACATGCATTTTTTGAACCACTTACACCAATAATTCATAACTATTTGGTATATCTCGATGAGGAGCCTTATCATATACCCTGTAAAACAGTTTATTACAATTTTTTTCTGAGGGGGGGCGATTTTTGGCTGGCTGGTTTGGACTATACCACAAGAAAATCAAAATCATAGAGGTATCGGTAATCTTTTAATGTCGTGCCCTACCTCAGGCTTAGTCATTATCTTCTGCACCAGAGTAGAATCTCTATTTATGTTTGATATAAATATAATGATGATGTGTTTGTTTGTCCAAAACTCTACTGAAATATGTTTCAATATCCTACTTCAATGGGAAACATAGCTTCAGATCTACAAAGTACTCTTTGCGTTGATATAAACGCTACCCTTTCTTTGTATGTCATATGAAGATCAGAAACAAGCTATACTTTGGAAAACTTTTGCTTCAACAAGAAATTTCCAAGAAGAGTATTTACTTTTATGTTTATTGTATCGCTTGTTTAGATACTAAGGTTTTTGTTTTGTTACTTGTTAATAACCGTTTAATAACTCTTACTTTTGATTTATAGTGTTCCAAGAAAGATATTTACTTTTATGTTTATTGTATCTCTTGTTCAGATGCTTCTGATTTGTTACCCTTTAACCCATTTATGCCTAAAGAGTTGCAAAAAAGTTTTTTTTATTATTTTTTAAAAAACCTTATTAAAAGACGACACTTATTCTAAAAAAAATACATAAAC